AGCCCTTACTTAACTAGTTCCCAGGGCAGTGTTACTAGTCAGTACAAGAGTTTTAGCTAAGATTTGGGTTAAATTAGTCATTCCTGAAATTTTTTGTTTGTTTGTTTTTTAGTTTTTTTTAATTCCAACTCTGTCATGTTCCCTGGGATGCGACAAAACCAAAAACATTTTATTAGAGGATAACAAATAGAGTCAAATATTTGCCCCAAATGAGAACAAAGAAAAACACCTTCAGATACTCATAATAGTGGTTAACATTTGTTGGTGCAGATATATATTTCAATCAGATATAATATGTACATATTAAAGTGTGTGTATATTATATATTTACATATACTTTTTTATTCTTCCCCCAAAATTCAGTCAGATTAAACCTACCACACAAGCATGTAGTACTACTTTAAAAATTTTTAATGATACAAAGGATTCATTATCTTATAAAATTGAAATTGATAGTTACAACTGATAGCTACTTCTAAGACTATAAAGCCAATTAAGAAAATAATCATCCTAGGTCTTGGGGCTGGCCTGGTGGCACAGCCAGTAAGTTCGCACACCCCGCTTCGGTGGCCGGGGGTTTGCTGGTTCAGATCCTGAGCGCGGACCTATGCACCGCTTGTCAAGCCATTCTGTGGCAGGCGTCCCACATATAAAGTAGAGGAAGATGGCCACAGATGGTAGCTCAGGGCCAGTCTTCCTCAGCAAAAAGAGGAGGATTGGCAGCAGATGTTAGCTCAGGGCTAATCTCCCTCAAAAGAAAATAAAAATAAATATAAATCATCCTTTCCATTATATTTAGAATGAAAAATATTTGCTTCAAAAATTAATTTCAGACTTTCAGAGCTAAGGTTGATAAGCTATTTTCTGGAATTAGGCTGGCACCATGGAAAAGAGATTTTGACAGGTAGCTTGCAAGAAGTTTTTATCGTGTTAAAATATGTCACTGATGGTGACTTTTTATAGTGTCTCAGAGCCCAGGGTACGACAGAGGCCTCTGTCTCAGACCAGCATCAGACCTTTTCACTTCACTTTGCCAGGCAAGATCACTTGTTTGAGCTGCTGTTCCTATGACATCTCAGAAAAACATTGCAGAGAAATCTCATATTTACAATTGACTGTTGCCAGCAGAGGTCATCTGCCAGAGAGAAATTTAAGGGGAAAGAAGCTCTAATTTCACCACCAGAGTGGCAGAGGGGTCAGAGGAGGATGGCGATGCATGCAGTATAAATACGACAAGCAGCAAAAGAAAAAAAAATGAGCATGACATTTACATTTAAGTAGAATTTTGGGTACCAGAGTAGCAGATAATTTAAAAGCATTTCTGGACATTTGTGAGTCATTAAGTTTGTCGAGGTTTTATTTGGGGTAGAAAACATTAGGAGATGATCATGAAATGAGGATTTGGACAGCAAGGGGTAGATGTCAGGAGAGGGAGGCCAGGGGTGATTGTTTAGGGAACAAAAATTGAAGAATGGTCTGAAACCTGGAGAAGCGTCAATAGGAAGACAAGGAGGAGCGGGACATCCATAACATTCGTAAGAGCTCCTAACAGCATTGATGCGAGTAGCAAGCGGCTCACCGGCCTCCAGCCTCCTTGTCTTGGATACAAAGAGACTTCTTAACTCTCCTCCTTACTCTGTGGAACAATTGCCATTTCCAGGGCATTGCCGTTGGTCCCTGGAAGATGCCCTGTCTACGGGACCGTGGAGTCCACACGAGCTCCTAAAGGATGGAGGCCTCTGCAGACTGGACTTGTTCTGGAATCATTGACTCTTCCAGGCCTCTCCTTTCCTTGATGTCCCTCAGGTTTTCAGGGTAACCGGTCAACCCAAAGATACTCCTTGTGAAGCTGTAAAAGAGCATTCTGTGCTCCACTTTATTCATGCCAGAACAAAACGAAGCATGTGAAGTATCAGTCTCCATTGTGTCCACTGCGAGATTATTTGGATCCAGAATTATAAGTACATTTTACTGGTTTCTGCCACAGCCCTGCAGAACCTCTCATAGCTACAGGGTTCTCTGCCTTAAGTGCAAGGGGATTTTTCACATTCCTACTACAGAGAGGACACAGTGGCCATAAGGCAAGGGCACATCCTTTTTGTCGCCAAGTCTGCTGTCATTTCGGTAGATACCACGATTGTATTGAAAAGGAAGGAAGAACTGTTTTCCAGTATTCCTGCCTGTGGCTAAAACGTAGCCCATTCAGGAAATCTAATTTGGAAAGTGTAGTCCAGTGCTCTGGGCTAAACCTGGAGACCTCTAGAGCAGCCGTCCCAAACCAGCGAGGCAGAGGGGAGGCCCTGGACCTCCGTGCTGACACTGGGCACCTCTCATCGGGGAGGAGCAGGCGTTGGGGTTTGGCAGGTAGCTCTTGCTGCCCCTGCAGAGTTCCATCTAACTTTCCCCCAGGTGCAAGACAGCACTTCGGAGATTTTGAATTCTTGGGCCTCAAGAGAAATCCTTATCTTAGTACAAATCACATCCTAAATTTTCCCATTGTTTTGGGGACATGCAGCATTCCCTCCGTGCCTGGAATTCTTCTTGAGATTCCTAGGACTCGATCTGGATCTCAGATTGCTGAGGAGATTCTGCTTGGGTTAATGCATCTGTCACTAAGGAATGGCGTCCAAGAAGGCAGACCCTGCATTCCCCAGGGGCTACAGCAGGGCCCCGTCCATCCTACCAACAGGCATGCCATCCTAGGCCCTGGAGTCAATTCCACCGTGAAAAAAATTAAAGGTTAAAAGTTCATCAAAATGTGTCTAGAGTAGATACCCGGGCAGACAGCAGGCTCCTAGTCAAGAATGGTCCAACAATTAAAAGCACCATAAGGATGTACTATTGAAGGAGGTCACTCATGATCTGTCAGAACCATAAGGAAAATATTCCTATTATTTGAGCCAGAATTTAACATGATTCTTTTACTTACTTTATTTGAATCCTGCTTTGCATTTCTACCGCCATCTCTAATGAAGGAGAAATATACATTTGTATCTCAGTGTACACGTATTCATTTTCAAAACTGTCTTTGCCCCCCAAATGGTACCAAGGGTTACTTTTATTTAAAGGTACTAAACAGAAAACCAGTCACCTTGCTTTGTATATGTGTTTCTGCCTCCATTTTTCTCAGTGTCTTTGGATAAGCTATTATTTTATCTGTGGAGTATTGGGATGAAAAATTTCTGTTCTAAGTTTAACACAGCAAGTGCCTAAAACAGGTCAAATCACAACAGAAATTTTTTGAGAGTCTCATGAGGAAAAAGAAGAAAACTTTTTAAGAATTCAGGAAGAACTGGATGATCTTCTGATACTCCTTCTAAAGTTGGAGGCGTTAATTACTAATTTGGTGATTTGAGGAAGGCACTATGAGTTGGATGAATCTGTAGTATTTTTAACACCACCTAAACATGTTCCTGCTGAAGAATAACCTTGATGAAAACTAAATCTCTCCTGTAGTCTGCAGTAAGATGTTTTTTTCTAAGCTGTGTTCTTTCATTTGAAAGTCAGCCAAAACTGACTAAAAAGAATATATGTACCAGCCCAGTGTCATAGCGGCAGCCCAGGGTTCACAGGATCAGATCCCAGGTGCAGACCTACACACAGCTCATCAAGCCATGCTGTGGTGCCATCCCATATGCAAAGTAGAGGAAGACTGGCACAGATGTTAGCTCAGGGCCACTCTTCCTCACCAAAAAAAAATATGTAAATATATATATATATATATGAGAGAAGAAAGCTCAAAATTTGCATTTTTCAATGGGAGTCATAAATCTATTAAAATAAAGAACTGAATGGAGAAATGAGGGCAATTGATTCAAAGAGAAACATGAATATAAGAAGATAGAACTGAGGAGATGAATGAATTTTTATAGAAGAAAAATGTGTAAATAGAAGATGAAATAATAACGATGTTTGCTAAAGCAAAATCTAGAAGATAATAATACGAAAATCTCTTTTTCACAACGTAGTCACCCTGCTTTGCCCTAAAGGTTAGGAGACCCGGGTTTTGCCCTTTCGTCTCCCACTGAATTGCTGTGTGACTTTGAATATATATATTCCTTCGTCTCTCTGAGTCTCAAATCCCTAGAGAAGGGACAGTAATTGCCTGACCCCAAGGGACCATGTGGGTTCTCGGAGGCCCTTCCACTTCTCAGTGTGTTTTCTGATCTGTCTGTTAAGGCAGGATTCTCAAGAGCCACTTCCTCAAAACCAGAAGGCTCACGTAAATCAGAGCACATCCTTTGTGTTTGTTTGATTGTTGTCACCAATGTCTGTGGCAGCAGAAGACTGAAGATTTAAAGTAAAAATAGTCAAGGTCTTCTTAGGTGAACTATTGAATGATTCCTTGTCACGGACCAGACGTGAAATAAATGGAGTAACTGAATTCCAGTTCCTACGAGGAAGCGTGACGTGAACGAGACTAGTGTGCTGAGAGAAGGGCTACCTCCCCGCTACTTTGGCATTCGTCCCAAGGCGGTCCTCTCAGACACTCTCCAACCTTTACGATGATAGAGCTCAAGATGCAGAATGGTTTTGCATAGTCAGTGCCAAGCAAATTCTTGTTCCTACTGTTCAGCATCAAATGCTCAATAGAGGAATAGATCCCTTTATCGTTCACATTGTTGCTATTTAGCATATCTAGACAGAACAAAGTGAATTGGGAAAGTAGTAGATTTGGGAATTTTAGAGAGACTTTTTAGTTAATATAAAATAGAAAATGGATGTTTTATTACCTAAGAGAATGTGCTTCAAAGAGTTCAAGCAGGAGTTTTAAAAGGCTTTATGTGATTTTTAAGGAGTGAATGATGTATGCTTAATTTTTTTTAAATGTGTAAGTATTTTTAAGTGGGATAGTGTGAGGACCACACAGTGTGCATTTGCAGCAGTAAGTGGAGATTAGGTCTGCTGTGATCCAGGCGCTGGGTTACTTTGTCACTGAGCTGAACACTGCTAGCTGCCATTATGTGTTTTGACCATTAAATAGTCTTAAATTGCTCTAATTCTTAGTCACGCTTTAATTTGTACCCATGATGGACCATTGGTAAAGGACAAGAAGCATAACACTGATGTGGAAGTAAAAACAGCATTGGGCTGAGAATTCTCGTTGTTACCCAGAAGTCTTCTCAGGTTCTGAAGGTTGCAGCATTCTTACAGGCATATCCAGCTATTACGGCACTAAAAAGAAGAGAAGTCATGATTGTACGTAGTTTTATTTTATAGAATAAGCATCCACTTTAACATAATTTGACCCACCTTTGTTGCCAAAGCCTACTAGCTAATAATTTAAACTGAAGATGTACCCTTTAGTAGTCAGCCAGATGTGGTCAAAATGAGGCAGTTTCTATAAAATTTGCTATAAGAAAGACAAATGCCTATTTAATCAATGAAAAAGCTCCTAAAACGATAATAATAGCCTGCATTTACGTGATTTTACAGTTACCAGATTCTGGTCACTTTTTTCACTTGATCCTAACTTGACCCATTCTATTTCCTCCGATCCAAAGTCCATCGTTGTCTCTGTGCCCTTCTGCCCTACCCAAAGCTCTGTGGTGGGTGCATCCCCGTCCTCCTTGCTCAAGCCTCTACTTTGCATCAAGGCCACCTTTTACCTTCCCCACTTCTCCCAGAAGAGAGCACCCCACTAGAGAGAGAGGCAGAATCATGTAGCCCTGAAGGTGGGTCTTCCTGGTCTTACTCAGCAATTCCAGTATCCTTTCTTCTGTTCCATAGAACTTTTGTGTAGTTCTGATTCCAGATCTTTACCTTCTTAAGCCCCCAGATTATCCCTACCAGCGCTAAATTTCAGCAGAAGACTAATAATGGCCATTTATCAACTAAATACCCTAAGTTAGTACTGAGTACTTCCTATGAATCAGTTCTGATCCAGAACAACTCCATAAGGTAATATCATCCCCATTTTACAGGTAAGGAAATTGAGTCTAAAGGGACACAAATACTGTGTGATAACTGGGGTTTGACCCAGCTCCGTCTAGTTCCAAAGCCACAGCCCTCTCCGTCTCTTTCAAGCTTAGGATCCTTCAGATAACTTAGAACATGAGATCAAGCCATCACTGTTCTTACATTTTGTCCTGTTTCCTGTCTTTCGCCTTATCCAGGATCCAATTCCCACAGTTGTCACCTTCTCAGGCTTCCTCTCTAAGCATCTTTCTTCCCACCTTCCCACAGGAACAGCTCTTATTTTCTTAAGATTAGAGTAAAATGTCTTTTCCCTTGACCCAGCTAATCCTTCTGGTTACTGTCCAAATTTCCTCCTTCCTTTCTGGGTCAGAAGCCTCCAGCACGTGGCCCACACCTGCTTCCTCTACTTCCTCCGTCCGTTTCCTCAGCAGCCCCCTTCCTCTGGCTTCCGCAGTGGCCTTCTTGTTAGAACTGCCCTCTCAAAGGTCCTCATCAAATTCAGCAGCCTCTCTGCAGCCCTCGCCTTTGTCCAGCACACGGCAGGGTTGACAGAGCATCCTTTCCTCAGATTCCCACTGCGCTTATTTCAGTGACTGTGTGTAAATCAGCCAATCAGTGCAGCTGCACCAGGGAAGAGACAGACTCAGATCTGGCCCACTTAACTCCCAAGAGGGGCACGGGCTTCATCCAAGAACAGGAGGAACTCTGAATACTTCTATTGAAAGTTCCCCTTCCACCTGGATGCTGCCGCCTCTCAGTTTACGTATTTCCTTCACCAGGTCGCTCAGACGCTCGTCTCCATCCTCAGCTCTTTGGTTTTTTGACTCATTTATTTGATGAGTTCATCCACCTTTCGTGAACTCGTCTTCTGTGACTGTGATGTCCACATTCCTGTCTCCAACTTTGACCTTCCCTTTGCATTGCAGCCCTGCGTTTCCAACTGTAAATGCCTGTGTCGTGTAAAGTCCTACTTGTCTAAAACCGATCTCGTCATCACCTTCAAACACTCTCCCCATCCCACCTGCGCAGTTTCTGTCTGTAGTAAAGCTGTTCATCTGGATACCAAGTTAGAAATCTTAGGGGTATCTTTTCTGTTTCTCTCCTTACCGGTATTTATTCATCTCACCAATATTTGTTGAGGACCGCTTCCATGCCAGGCTTTTTGTTAGGAGCTGGCATGGAGGCTGCCCTCGTGTGTCAAAGTTCTGACAGTTCCTCCCTTAAGGGGTCCATCCATTATTCCTTTTCTTATGCCGTTCCTCAGCTTAGACACTTAGTGGGCCACGGCTGGGGTTCTGAAGCAGCCTCTCATCTGAGTCCCGACTTTTGGTCTTTTCGCCTCACTTCATCTGGACGCATAGGATGCTCTATAAATATTGTACATCAGGTGATTTTTTTTTTTAATTGTTAATTGTTGTAAAATATTCATTACATAAAATTTACCATCTTAACTATTGTTAAGTGTACAGTTCAGAGTAAGTGGGTTCGTGTCGTTGTGCAGCCCATCTCCAGAACTTTTTCATCTTGCAAAACTAAAACTCTATACCCGTTGAATACCACCTCCTCATCCCCTCTCCCCCCAGCCCCTGACAACCAGCTTTTGCTTTCTGCTTCTATGAATCTGACTGCTCTAGGTACCTCGTATGAATGACGTCATACAATATTTGTCCTTTAGAGGCTGTCTTGTTTCACTTAGCATAAATCCTCAAAGTTCATCCATGCCATAGCATATGTCAGAATTTCCTTCCTTTTTAAGGTTGCATAATATTCCCTGCATGTGTAGACCACGTTTTGTTTATCCATTCATTCGGTGATGGACACTTGGCTCGTTTCCACCTTTTGGCTATCGTGCATAATGCTGCTGTGAACATGGGTGTACAGATCTCTCTCTGAAACTCTGCTTTCAATTCTGTTGGTATATACCCGGGAGTAGAATTGGTGAATCATTTGGTAATTCTATTTTTAATTTTGGGGGGAACCATTGTATGTTTTCTACAGCAGCTGAACCATTTTACATTCCCACCAGCAGTGCACAAGGTTTCCAATCCTCACCAACGCTTATTTCTTTTTTTTTGATAGTAACCATCCTAATGGGTGTGAGATGTGGTGTCTCGTCGTGGTTTTGGTTTTCATTTCCCTTATTATTAGTGATGTTGAGCATCTTTTCATGAGCTTTTGGCCACTTGCATATCCTCTTTGCAGAAATGTCTATTCAAGCCCTTTGCCCTTTTTTTTTTTTTTGAGGAAGATTAGCCCTGAGCTAACATCTGCCACCACTCCTCCACTTTTTTTGCTGAGGAAGACTGGCCCTGAGCTAATATCCATGCCCATCTTCCTCCACTTTATATGTGGGACACCTACTACAGCATGGATTGCCAAGCGGTGCTATGTCTGCACCTGGGATCCAAACTGGCCAACCCCGGGCCGCCAAAGCGGGATGTGCACACTTAACTGCTGCACCACCAGGCCAGCCCCCCCTTTGCCATTTTTTAATTGGGTTTTTTGTTGTTACTGAGTTGTAAGAGTTTTTCATACATTCTGGACAGTAAACCATTATCAGATACATGATCAGCAAGTATTTTCTCTCATTCATTGAGTTTCAGGTGATTATATTTTAAAGAGAAGTTTTAATCTTATTTAGTGGTAATGTTTTCCAACTTCAGAATGACTCTCATGGAAAATGACTTTTCTTTTAAAAATTATTTCGGGAATAAAACATCCCTTAAATTTTTTTTTACATCAGATTTTTCTTAGTGAATAAATTACACAGGAAGGTAAATTGTGGATAAATTTTATAAAATTCAGAATAAAGTAGAAGGTAGCCAATTATTTGGCATATTCCAACTGAGGATTATAAATGTACTTTAGACCTGGCCTGTGAATATAGCCTTTAAGCTTATTAAGTTTGATCAAATGTTAGGGAATAAAGTCTCTAAAGTCTTTAAGAATGAGGACTTATTTTCCAAGCTTGAAAATGTTCTGGATATAGAAAAAAATCCTATAAAAGAAGTTGAATCGTAGGTTCTGCTGTCCCCAAGTTATTACGTATGTCCCTGAGCATTAACATGCTATGAGGGGCTAGAGTCAGAAAACTTGGTATAACAAGAGGCTGGTGAGCCAGTAAATTTGTTTTCAATATCCTGCCAGTTTTCACAAAGGATTTGCAGGACATTACGACAAGTCACATACATACTAGTGTTTGTGACACTGGGGAATGTTAAAGCCGTGTAGTTGGTGAAGATAACCATACAGGTAGATTGAGGACAGTTTTACTCCAGGTTTCCTGACAGTCTTAACAAAAAGAGAAACAACAGGTTATGTAGCACTCATTGTATGATGTGAGGAAGCACCCCAGCTTATCATCAGAGACCAAATTTTTCCTGGCACTAAACTTTTAAGAGGAATGTAGCACCTAGATCTTTATAAACATGACAATGATACACATAACAGGCAGCATTTTACAAAAGATATGTAAATATTCTTCATGAGAGTCTTGGTTCCTCCTATCTCCCCTTGATAGAAAAGCCACAGGTATGATATGAATTATGATTCTTTGGAGACATTCTGTGATAACCGTAGTAATGTGGTTTAACTTCTGACCTCATAGACAAGACTCATCTGTCCCAGCCTGGCCTCAGCCTGGTCTCTGGCTATTAATGCTTTCAAAGCCTGGTGTCATCATACCTCTGTGAAAGCTGGGGTCCTTGAAAGATCAAATAGCAAACTTCAGTGGGGATGCCATACCCCTTTGCTTTATAGCTAAATGACTTTATGTTGCTTTTAGAAAAGGAAGAAATGAACTCCTGCCCTGGTGAAAAAGGCAGCACTTTGCTAATAATATGACGTGTTTTTAACCAGAACCTAAGAATTCTGTCTTGAAGTTACTATTTCCAGGTCTTATCTCTTAGAAAACAAAAAAGCAACTTAGGGAGAAAATTAACATTCAAGAACTAATCAATGGTAAAGATTGGACCCATACAAGTAGTCTTCCCAAACCAAATTGACTGAGAGTAGACCTCTAGCAGGGTCATTGTCCATTGCAAATTAAAATCTTTATCAGCTCTGTCAGTGAATAGAAGTATAAAAGATAGAAAATTAGAAGTTAGGACAGACATCTTAAGGGACCCGCATGTCCCTTAGCAGGAGGAGTGTATGCTGAGCCTTGTCGTATTGGTCTTATCAGAGAACCAAATCAAAATTGAAACCAGTTTCTTACGTGTGGAGGAGCTTGGAAATCCTGCCTCTGCTTTTTAGCTGAGATCTGGGGACCCACCTAGTTCTTGTTCATATCAAGAGTATTCCTTGCTTAACAAACCAATTTCTTCTTAAAAAGGGCCCAGCTGTATGCACAAGGTAATTGGTTTTCGCAAATCTAGGTCTCTCGTAAATAATTTCACGGTCAAAGAGGCAGGCTAACAGGTCATATTTTTTGCGTTTTCTTACCATGATGCCATAACCCAGGAAGGAATTTTGGGTATTGTCAGGCATCGTCAAGAGAACTGGAAGGGAAATAGGATGGTCGGCAGCAAGGACAGAAACAGAAAGGTCACTTCTGCCTTTTCAGTGACCCTGGTGAGGGCTGACAGGGCTGTGACCAGGGCAGGAGCAGTGACAAGAACGAGAAATGGTTGGATTGGGGTTGTGTTTTGAAGGTGGTGCCAGCTGGATGCGCTGACCGTGGAGATGGCGTGTGAGAGAGGGGGAGGCGTCGGGGATGACTCAGAGGGTTTTGTCTCGAGCAGCTGGAAGAATGGTGTTGCATCAACTGAGATTTGGATTCTCATGTACAATGGCTCTTATTTTTAAATTTTGCTAATAATATTCTTTAGGTATTTGGGCCTCAGGGCAAATCACAGGTACAGCCCCTGAACCAAAGAGCTTATAGCCTCTGCCATCACATTTTAAGAGTCAGATCCGTAAACTGACTTTGATTTAATATATAAAAAATGTAAAAAGACATCAAAATCAGCATATTTTTTTGAAGCAGCTTATTGTTGGGAAGAGAATATCCTAAAAGTAGAAATAGTGAAATTTGTAAATAGAGTATACATTTTACCTTTAGCAGAATTGTTGTCCATTCTAGATTAAAATCTTTATCAGCTCTGTCAGTGAATAGATGTATGAAAGATTGACAGTTAGAAGTTGAGACAGACATCTAAGGGACCCACATGTTATCTTAGCAGGAGGAAGATACGCTGGGCATGTTCAATGTATTGTTGATATGCCTTTTTTGTAAAAGTATTATATTTAAGAAAAATTGGGAAAGCCAGACTATTTTGTTCTGAGTAAGGTGACTTGAGAGTTCATGAAAAACTACTTCAGTCATTAAAGGAAAAAAACTCAGATACTCATCAAATTACTGATTGGAAAAATAGCTTGTAATTAAGTTCTTCTGTACGGGTGCCTGACATTCAGAAATCCCACATTTACTGTTTCACCTGTTCACAGGTGACCTTTGCAGGGCTGATGTCCAGGCGGGAAGCACTCTGTTGCTGTGTGAGCTTCACCAGCTGCCCAGGTCTCTCTCTCTCTTCACCCGTACGTAGCCTGGTACATAGTTTAACTCTCTGCAGGTTAAAACTCTGGTATGTTTGTAGAAAGATGACCCTAACAGAAAGTCAGCAGCTGATGCCTAAGTGGAAGAAATTGCTTTTCACTTACTCTTTACTGCATCTTATGGGAGGAAATACATGTGACAATGGTATTTGGAGATTCGCGAGGGTCTGAAGACATGGATGTCAGCAGTCTTTGGAATAAAGGAAAGACTTCTTGGCCATGCAGGCTCCTTTTCGTGTGGATGTTTTCCATGTGACCGGCTACAGCAGCTGGGCGTCCACTTGGCCTTGTTTCAGCTGATCTCCCCAGACTGGCCAGCTTGAACCCCCATCCCCCAAACCGTGAACAATGGCACGTCTTACCAGTTGGCTGAATAAAGGGTCGTGTGTCGCTCTAGAACTGAGCCTGGAATTTGAATACGTGAATTCACTATCATGAGTCAGGGTCAAGCCCAGATTTTCCCCTGGGCAAAATCTAACATGTCAGTGGCCTGGCCACACAAAGCTGGTGGTGACAGCAAACTCAGATGGGTTCCTGTTCTCTTCTACTTCTTGTTATCAGATCCAGGGCTCCTGAAAGCTCCCGAGCAGTCTGGTTTCAGATTCAAATGTGGTTTTGACTCACTTGCCAGCTGGGCAGGACTGTTGACACAGGGAGGGGCAGTAGATGAGAAGGTCCCCCACTCTCTTTGGGCTTACAGGAAAGAGCAAGTAAAAGGGAATTCAGGCCTCACTGATGCTGTGCTCCCAAAATATATTTGCAGAAAATTCTCCGGTTTAGCATATTGTAAAAAGTGGTGGCGATAATACTGCCGTTTTATTTGACTCTGTGGTGGTGTGTGGTCACTGTGTCAGAATAAACTGTTTGTACTTGAGTTTTGTGAATTTATCATTGAAGGGCTGGCAGATTGTATTATAAGGCAGCATAACTGTACTCTTATGGCTTCATTAATTAGGATGCCTAGACATAATTAGGTTCTAGCTAAGAATAGATAAAATGGAAAATAATTCTGGGAAAAAAGAGTGGAGATTCTGAGAAGCTGGAAGAACGTAACAGAGGACATTTCTTGATTCTCAGGCACAGACATGGGACTGGAGCACCAGCCGTGGCTCCCTTGAGGGGTTACCCTGGCCGGTTGTTTAGGAATACATTCTCACCCTCTTTATTTCATTTCCATTTCATGGTACCCTATAGACAGAGACAATCTAAAACCTCCTCCATGACTCAGAAATAACAGTTTTGGTGATCGGAAGTTGAGCCATTCATTTTTAATTAATAGACTTAATTCTTAGAGCCGTTTTAAGTTTACAGAAAAATCGAGCAGAAGGTACGAGGTTCCCATCCATATACCTCTTCTCCCCACACCTACACACAGGTTCCCCTATTGTTAGCATCTTGTGTTAGTCGGTACATTTGGTACAGTTGATCAACCAGTATTGGTACATTAGTGTTAACGAAAGTGCACAGTGTACATTAGGGTTCACTCTTTGTGTTGTACAGTTCAGTGGGTTTTGACAAGTGGATCATGTCGTGTATCCCCCATTCCAGTATCATCCAGAATCGTTTCACTCCCCTAAATTTCCCCTGTGCTCTGCCTGTTAACCCCTCTCCCATTCCACCCTGAACTCTTGGCACCCGCTGATCTTTTTACTGTCTCCATAGTTTTGTCAGTCCACTCATTTTTAAGCAACTATCCAACTGTTCCAAAGGAAGCATTATTCATTGCTTTATTCATAAAATGAGCCCTCAATAAATGCTGTGTGCCAGGCAGTCTTCTACGCATTGGGAAGAGAGCAGAGGAGCAAAAATAAAAAGCGTCGATCTTCATGAAGCTTACATTCCAGGACAGCAAGCCTCCGGGCCCAGCTGGGTCCTAAGTAGGAGTGACATGGCCCAAGAGGACACAGGATGAGAGGAGGTAGCTGGAGAAAGTCGTCTGAGAATGGGGCCTCCTACCAGTTAGCCCCACGGTCTCAGGTCAGACCCCAGCCTCCCCGTTCCTTCCTCCTGCAGTCAAGTCCCAGGAGCTCGGTCAGCTGGTCTCCTCCAGCTGGCACCTATGTTTTCTCTAAGACCCACTAGATAGACCACAGCGCCGTTTCCCAACTTTCCTCTGTCCCGCTCACTCAGATATCAGTGCAAGCACCTCTTTTAGACTTTCATTAAGCTTTTACTACTATTTATCTGTAGCCCTGCCTGGTGCTGATAGAAGAGCATGGAAAGTTTACAATATTATAAGTAGGTGCCTGTGATCATCATCTAAATGCTAGCTGGACAGGGTCTTCTCTGGGCATGGATGACCGGAAATTCTCTAAATCCCTTCTTTCCTGGGCAAGCAGACATCAGTTCTGCTGTCTTTCCATAAGAATTCCCATTCGTACCCCACTGCCTTCTCCCTAGCTCTAGTCCTCTGGAAAAATAAGAGGTTTCCGTGAGTGAGGATGGACCAGAAAGAAGGTGGAACACTGAAAGAGATCCACTTGCTCCTCTCCAACTCTGCCTCTCCGTCTCCTTTTTTTTTCACACAAGAAACGTGCTTAAAGAGCCACTAAATGGACTCTTTGAAACCCTCCTGAGCACACTGTTGGAGCAGACCCAGTGTCCGCTCCTGCAGGCTGGTAAGAGCTGACTGTGTGCCTCTCTTCCCAACTACACTTTCCGTGACATCATGCTGGTAGCTTAAAACTGGCCGTGGTGGGAGTATTTACACCACAGGAATCAGTCAATGCTACAAATCAGTTTTACTATTTTTTTTCCAGAGAGCTACTTTATCCTCCTACCACCGAGCAGACCCTTCTTAATCAAATTCTTACGTTGACTCTACCATAGGAGTTAAATTCATGAACATTATATTAATTCATATGCTCTAATTCTACTCTCTATGCATTGGGGGTAGGGGGAATGCTAACCAAAGTCAACAGACTTGTTCCAGTAAGTTTTGAAAGCCAGGCTTTGCGTCAAGCTGCACAGAAATTGACAGTTTCATTTCTCCTGAAAGAAGGATTGAGGCCATTGACAGATGGTTCCATCCATGTTGTCTTCATTGAAATCTCACAGCAGCTTCACTGTAAAACTTGCTACTGCAGGTGTGGAACCATGATCGCGCTTAGCGTTTCTTTGCCCGGGGCCGCAGTTGCTTGTCCATGGGTCCTTAATAAGGTGCTGCATTTGCTGACTGCCCATTGTGCTCCATGTAGGACTGCGCATGCGAGAGCAAAAGCTGACGCCGCTGACCAGGCTGCGCTGGCCGCCCGCCAGGAGTCTGACATCGCGAGAGCTGTGGCTAGGGAGCTGTCGCCCGACTTCTACCAACCAGGTGAGACTATTGTGCTGTGATGGGAAAGGTGGGGACATTTTCTCTGCTTTCCTTTTTTTTTTTTTTTTTTTTTGCTGAGGAAGATAGCCCTGAGCTAACATCTGTTGCCAATCTTCCTCTTTTTTTGGCTTGAGTAAGATTAGGCCTGAGCTAACATCTGTGCCAGTCTTCCTCTACTTTATATATGTGGTTTGCCGCCACAGCATGGCTGATGAGTGGTGTAGGTCCAAGCCCAGGATCTGAACCCACAAACCCAGGCCGCCAAAGCAGAGCACAGTGAACTTAACTACTATACCACAGAGTCAGCCTTTTCCATGCCCAGCAACAAACTTTGAGCTGATAGCAGTAAAGGAGACGGGAATCTAGAAGTATCTGATTCTCAGAAATCGTGTTAGTATATTAGTGACCATTGCAGATGCCAAAACAAACACCCCCAAGTCAGAGACACCTGTAACAGTAGCATCAGCAGTAAGAGAAGAGCCAGTAAGTACTGTGACTGTTTTTTTAAATACACCTGAACTAAAGCTCAAGGAAGTGGTTAGGAGGTAAAAAAGTATACCACTTAAAAGACAGATTAAGAGGAAAATGCATGTCATGATTTAAGACATGAAAATGACAACCTCAAAAAGAAAAATCAGTCCTGATTATATGCCTCTCAAATGTTATAAAGTAGCAACAAACAAATATTTGCAGTAGTTTTAAATATTTAACTCACTTCCTAATGGTTTCCTAGTAGACTCTTTCTGTCTCTTTCTATAACATACTGGTGTTAATAAAATAGCAATAGCCACCTTTTTATATATGTTTCTCCACTGTTTTATAAACAACATCTTTCTAGCGATCGAGGGAGCAACAGATTTCTAGGTAAAGAGACCAAAGTAAATGTTCTAAATTTCTGAATATCAAGATTTATGTTTTCTTGGCAAAGAATTTTTCCACATTGGTTTCTGTTAAATCAAGCTGGATAACTAGCAACCTGTGTTCCATACATGTTTGGTTCCAATGAAGGTGACATGACACTGGAACCCAAGGGCATTAGTGTGACTAAATGAACTAGGTAAGTCAGAGTAAACAGAATAGCAAAACCTGTGTAAGCGCTAGAAATTTGGCTGTAATCAAGGATAGAGGAATAAAGAAGGAAATGACACGGTGACTTTCTTTTTCCCCCCCTTTCCTGCAAAGAATGAAGACAGTAAAAGGCCAGGTTAAGAAGACTCCATGGTTATGAGAGATACTGGGGAGGGGCCCAGCCTGGTTGCTGAGTGTTAGGGTTGTGGCAGAGTGACTTCTGTAGTAGTTCAACTCAAGGGAGGCAACCGGCGATCATGGGTGTTTTCTTTCACGTGCATCTTTTTTAAACCTCTGGGTGAGATTTAAATCATTTAATACATATGTATATTTTGTTAGGAGAGGAAAATTTTCCATTTTTTGCAGTGACCTCTCATAAGAATAAACTATTTTCTGGTGTGAAATGAACCCACCCTTCCCTGGTCCCTAAGTCCATTGGCGACTACCTGTTCTAGGGTGTGAGAGGTGCAGAAAGGGTCCAGCCACTGCAGAGGGATGGTCCTGGTCCTCCCCAGCAGGGCTGCGGTTGGGAGGCTGCTCCAGCAATCAGAGACAATGCCGCTTCTCAAGCGCACTGGGCTCCAGCTGCTTTGAAAGCAAACAAACTTGCTATTGTTGTCTGCAGATGGTAATTTCATGGTTCTGTTGTTAATTCCGTTGGGGAATGGGGTCCCTATAGATTTCTGTTAGGTGTTACTAAGAGGTAAATGATACGAAGGTCGTCTCAGTTTCCCAGACGAAATGGTTTTAAAAGCCTTTTATGGGGTAAAAGCAGCTGAGGGAAAAAAAATATGTGGGAAAATGTAATTCCACCCTTGCTTCGCTAAGACAGCTCCATATAAGCAAGTTGTCCGTCAGTAATGAATACGTCACAGTAGCACGAGATGACAGCGGGTCTGTTTGAGACGAGAGCTAAAGGAGAAGGCTGCAGTCCCCTTTGACCCACAGCCAACACTTCCTTCGGGAACTGTATAGAAAGCCTTTTCTGTACTGAGTATTATTGATCTTCTCAAGGGAGCGTAACTCATGCTTTCCACTCCGCGTTTACAGGGTGATCAAATCAGATAGACATTTCTAAAAGGGCTTTCAAGTACTTTTTCTGAGTTGGGCTACTCATTTAATTTGCATATCTCAGATACAATTGCTGCCATTGTTGGGAGGGCATGTGTCGTGCATAGAAGTTGTTAACCCTGGGAAAAAGGATGTCTGTCATAGCTTGACATTTTAAACACTTTTATGGTAAGTTACCTATTTTCAGGAGCTGGCAGTATTTTCAGATATTTACCATATAGTTAAATTTTATGCTTTTAGTTCAAAACAGCTTAGTTAAAAACTAAAGAAAAAACATAGCTATGTGGAATGGCTTTGAATAAAGATTTAAGGAACTGTTTGAGAAAAGGATTAAGTTCTAATCAATAAGAAAAAGCATACAGATGAATGTAGTATTGAACATGTGTGTAGATAATTGCATACATATACAGAAACCTAAACTGCCATGAGTGTGAGTGACACCGTGCGTCATCCCCCAAGAACTCAGAAATAAGATTGCCCTCTGAGAGTTAAGCTTTCAAATGAGCCCGTTATCCTGCAGAGATTATATAAAGTGACCATAAGTGATAGCATGGCTTCAGGTACTGCAAGGTTTCCTTGTAACTTGATTATGTTAAAACATCTAAAGAAGGAATTGGTCACCCAAAGAAGTATAGGAAAAAAAAAAGAGTCACAGAGGCAAAAGTTGGCAGTGCCCATCTAAACACCGTCCAGAGGAGAAGCCTAGGCCAAAACCTTGGAGTGTTGCAGTTGCATTGGCAAGGACGTTTCTATTATGGGGAGGGATGCAGGGAACCACAGCCAACCGTGTATGGCTTTATTGGCAAGACCATCCCCGAATGAGGAAATGGCTGCATCAGGCTCGTTCAGCCTGATGCCATGAGACATTTGATTCATCTCATGCTCCTTGTCCTGATTCCACGTTCACCAGTAACCTTCTAATTTTGGTTGAGCTTCTCGTGGAGGGAGGTTACCAACAAAGAGAGCATGCACTGGTGGTTCAGTGCGAGTCCCCTGGGCTCGGTGACATTTCTGTTTTTCACTATAAACTGATGCGTTGGCCTTTTGGTATTATCCGTCAGTCTCGTGAACTTTGGTGATATCAGTCTGCCCCGAGGGATGGCTCTCCAGCAAAGTGTTGATGAATTCAGGTTTCTAAGGGAGCAAAGCTGAGACGAGACTTTGGATTTCCCTAAGGAAGCCGTGGGGAGTGGGACATGGGGCAAGGATGACTGGAAAGCTCTTATGTGTGGCTCTTTGTTCCACTGTTTCAATTTCCTTTCGATCAAGATACTTACTTTGTTTTTAATTTCAAGTAGTATTAAGTAGGGTGTGAAATTTTTGTATTTATCAATTGTGGGAGTGACAGGGCCTGGGTTAAAAAGGACTGAGAAACACTGCCCCAGAGTGTGGTAAACACATCACTTGGTAAATGCATCCTCTGAGGAGATGGCCAGCCCGCTTCCCTAGGCAGCATCCTCAAAAAGCTTTGTCTTTCTATGTTTAAGCATGTGCATTAGTCAGCTCAGCTGCTAAACAAAATAGCATGGACTGGGCGACTGAAACAATACACATTTATTTCTCACCGTTCTGGAGGCTGGAATCTGAGATCAGGTGCCAGCAGAGTTGGGTTCTGGGGGGAGCCCCCTTCCTGGCTTGCAGGCAGCTACCTTCTCCATGTCCTCACCTGGCCTTTCCTGGGTGCCTGCGCTTGGAGCGAGCGAGCTCTGGTGTCTCTTCCTTTTTTATAAGGACACTAATCCCCTTCATGACCTCATCTAAATCTAATTACCTCCCAAAGGCCCCTCTTCCAAATATCATCACACTGGGGGTTAGGGCTTCAATGTATGAATGGTGGGGGGGGAGAAACAGTTAATCCATAATAGCATTTATGTGCATGCATACACACACTGTACATTGATTATTTAAGGTAAAAAGTGAAGTCTTGAGTGTAGGTTATTGTGGACCAGAGTTCATGAAGCTCACATTTCTGGTATGAATTAGAAGTCTTTACAAATCAAAGCATGTTTTCATTATATAATTGTCTCTACTTACCATTAATATGTACTGCTTTTGGTTAAGAAAAGGGAAGCATCCTGGAATAGATGACTTCTAAACACATTTTCCAAACCCCAAATTCTGAATAAATTTTTTCCTAGAAAAACAAAACAGAATAATCCCCTAATTGACATAAAGTTAATAATTCATGCATTTGCTGGTTATTCTTACTACTTATTCATTCTAGTGTATTCAGTTCCAAGAATGTGTATTGAGAGCCAGCCACGTGCAAGGCGCTGGAATGGATGTCCCAGGCCTTGCAGACAAGAGCTGTGTGGCTGTGTTCACAGAAGTTGCGGTATTGTTACAGATCGCACTGTTGAGGTCCTATAGGAAAGGGGCGTTCTTTCCATGTAGAATATAAAAGTGATCTGCTGCCAGTTATAGAATCTTTTTAGAATCTTTCAATCTGGTCCTCTGTGAATAACTGACAGTCTCCAGAGAATTTGACTTCTGATGTTGCTACACAGCGTTTGCTCCCAGCACTGCCTTTCTGGACATTTCTCTGGGGAATCTTCATGGTTTCCTTCTGCCCATAGCCAGCCCACCGAGGCTCACCTATGAAGGACTAGTTGAATACGTTGCTGTTACCATCTGTCATATCTGTTCAGAGCTCCATGCCAACTGTATCAAGCAACCTGTCAGTGTTAGTGGATGACATGTGCTGAATGTTGTTGTTTCATATTGTGTGGCATGTCAGTGAGCAGGTGACCTATTATCTGACTTCTTCCCAATATGAATCCCCAGGGGGAAAAAAATCCCTTAGGATTTATAGATACTGTCTATAAAAAGAGATGAAAATGCTGACTGCAAGAGCTATCGTCAGTTGTCATCCTTTTCCTGCCTGGCAGTATTCTGACTAGTCTTTTTAATGAACTGCTGCATCTCATCAACTTTATGCTGCTGGCGTTGCAAGGCTGACACATTACTGCAGAGAACAAGTAGCAGGCACAACGTGTGCCTTCCAAGAAAATATTCCAGGAAAAACTTCTGTCCTCTGCATTATATTAAATGTCTTGTTTAAAAGTATTTAATCTCACTCTGGAAAATTTAACTGTATATCCTCATTTCGCTGGCCAGTCCCCATATGACTACGCTATGTTGGAACCATTCCCAGTTGGATGTAGTCATGAGGGCTGGAGTTAGGTGTACCTCTATTGAAAAAAATAGTTTTGCATGCTTTTAAATGCCTGTACCTAAGTACATTAGAATCACCTGGAGCGTTTGTTAAACATCAAGATTTCTAGGCTTCGATTCATATTCTCTGGGAAGCGCACCCCAGGTGCCTCTGATGGGCAGCAGATATGGAGCTAGGGGTTCAGAGTACATTTATTCCCCTATCCAGCCATTTTTTAGTTCATAATAAAGCCAGGAATTTTTCTTAATCTGAAAGTCGGTGCTACAATGTACTTCCATCATTCTAGTAAATTCTTTGAGCTCCACAGATTTTGAATATCACCAGAAGCCCTGTAGATAAATCTGAATATGGCTGAAAACCACATCTTAGGAGAGGGGCACAAGTACTGGTGTAAGAAATGCCTTTCCTAATACGTTCAGGACAGGAAGGCTGTCCAAAGGAGCAGTAAAGCCGGTTTCTAAAGCTCTAAAGGAGTGACTAGACTGGTATTTGAAAGTTAATAAACATAATAAATACATTCAGTGGAATCCAGAATATGGCTTTATTAGTCCATAAAATACAAATTTCTCCAATGGCCAACTCATTCTCAACTTGACCTAATAGTCTGACAGTATAAATTAAGAGTTCTGTTTACAAAAAGCATTTGAAATTATGCTTTGTATTCAAGTGTTAGAGGTTTTTGTTCTTTTTCCAGATAACCAAAGCATATCACTTTAAAAAATTATTGTCATTAATTTTTCTTGGACCTGCTATTACTGAATTAACGGAGTTTCTCCCCCCGAGATAAATGGTCTCTTGTAGCTGTTAGTGTTTCATCCATCTCCTCTTTGCTGGCACCTGTCACTTTTGTTGGGCTCTGTCAGAACAGCTCCCATTTCTGCTTCTAATCTGCTTTCTGCAGTAACTAGGTGGGACCGAAGGTCACCAGATAAATCCTCAATTTGTAAGCTGCACTGGTTACGGTCTCGCATTTTCAAAATGAGGCACATGGGCTCTGTGACAGCTTTATTTCTCATGGTTCAGTGACTCTGCGTCTTTCCTTTCCAGCTTTAAGAATGTATAACTAATCGTGTTCGCCAGAGTCTCTTTCTTTCTCGCACTCTTTTCTGTATCTTTAAGCTAACCATCAGCTTTTAATGTGCCTTAACCTTAAGATAGAAAGATTTGCAAAAATAACTTTTGCTCTCACCCCTTAGGCTGAAGATGTTAGAAGTACTTTGTAACTTGTGGTGCAGAGTTATGTGGCTTAAATTAAAAATCCCTTGGCTCGAAGAGTCTTGACTATTAATGATCTTTGCACAGTACATCCAGTACCACACCTAGATGGGTATTTCAGGAATGCCATGAAATTGAATAACCGTGAAGCACAAATAAAACCAACTCTGGTGAAATTTTGGGTAGAAGGATGAGAGAAAAATACGTAAGCAACACACTGCATTGAACTCTATCAGGTAATATCCTGTATCACAGAAGAGGAGGAGGGGTTTTGAATAAATTAAACTGCAATAAAATAATGAGGGTCTTCACCATGAAAGACCAGTATAAATGACCTTAGTGAGTCTTAAAACATCAAAGGCTGTTGATGGAGAGCGGCACTTTCTGGTGCTGCTGCTTTGTTCTCTTTGTTGTGTGTCCCGGCCACAGCACCGAAACAGAAAGACATCACCTTTTGAATAGCTGTACTTCCCCCTTTTTTCTTCACTCAAGTGAGGTGCCTTTCTCTGTGCCAAGAATTCATACTGCCATTTTTGATGAAGGATTTAAAAGAAGACTGCCAATTTTTAAAAGGGAGGTGCTTCACCAAGTTGAGAGAGGAAATCTCAATTGTTGACATGCAATCCTGACCTGTTTGGGAAATTCAAACCCTGAGGGGTGGATTTATCCTCCGGAGGATGGAAAGTGGGAGAATACTATCATGTTTTTGGCCCTGAGGACAACCTATAATTATGGGTCCTTGGGAATTCTCATTTCTGGGCTTAAAATATTACGTTCTGTGTTGCATTATGTTTTATCTTAAGGGGACACAGGAGCTATGTGACTTTGGGCTTTTCAGCTACTACAGCTGTTTCCACATCAGTAAAATCGGGATAACACCTGCTTCCTAAGATTTTGGCAAGGCTCTGAATTTTGGAAGATACCTTGTATAATAAGTAGCAGTCTCATAACAATAAATTACTCAGACCTCCTTTAACAATTAAGGATGATTGTTCGTCAGCCCCTGTGGGGTAGAGGTGGGAGAGGAGGCAGCAAGGAAAGTCAACAGATGCGATACTGTGGAGTTGACGAGAGCTGGTCAACTCCTGTCAGCAAGTGGGTGGGGAGGTTTCTCCCTTGTGTACCTGAGGGATGACATTGTCAGCTCCTGCCCATTTGCAGAGAAGAAGGCCAGATGCACTGTGTGACCTTGACTTTACTTCCTGAGGTGGAAAGTGGCTGATGGGTGGAGTGGGGGCCAAAGGATGTACATGATGTGGTTATCGGGGAGGGGACAAGATGTGAAGTGCCTAGAAGGAGGGCACTGCCTTGGAGCCCATTTCTGGACCGCTGACATCCTTAAGCTCTCGTGGCCTGTACCATCACATGGTACACGCTCTGTTTCTTTACTCTTCACTCTCCCCAGAATCTCCTGTAAAATACCAGTGCACCAGGGTCCCTTTTGTAAGTGAAAGTTTTCCCATTGATAACAATAACGTCTCATTGCTACAAACAGTCCTAAATTATTCAGAAAAAAAAAAAACCTTAGACTACAGAGCCAAAGACAACTGTCTTGTGTTGACTTTGATGCCTGCAGAAACACTGCTGATGCAAAACCATGCTGCCCTAGGACTCCAGGCAAGTTATTTTGTGCGTGCAACGTAAACTGCAGAAATAGTTCCTAACCAAGACGTTTAAACGATCTTTTCATGAAGGACCATTAAAAATATATCTGCAGGGCCTCCTCTTACTTATAGAGTAAATACTATTTAGGTATTAAACATATTAATTTAAATACTTTGATATATTCAATATTAAACATATGAGTTAATTTCTTCATATGAGTGTACACTTTACATTTTAGTTATGCCACACATTTGAATATGCAAATTAATTACAGTGTCGTCACCAGTGCTCCATCGACACGAATTTCCCCTCAGTGTTCTGCAGGTCGGCAGGAGCAATGCCATTATTAGAGAAGTGAGAATTGCTTAAACTTTACAGCCATCAAAATAGTATAAATAATGGTAAACATTACCTTAAAAGCACTTTTTCAGCAATAAATAATCTTTCCCCTCAGGGAATGAACTGTGCTCATGTTTAACCAAAGCCAGGTAAATACATTTAAAAGCAAAAAGAGGAAAGGCTGATCTGAGTTAGCAAAATACACATAGATAGCCATGAGGAACAAGCATGTGTACCCTATTTTTATTTTATCACCTTTCTGTCCTCAATTTTTTCCCCAGGCCCAGATTATATCAAACAGAGATTTCAGGAAGGTGTAGATGCTAAAGAAAATCCAGAAGAAAAGGTACCAGAAAAGCCGCCTACACCAAAGGAATCTCCACATTTTTACCGCAAAGGCACGACCCCCCCAGCGTCTCCTGAGGCGAGTCCCAGACAAAGCCGTTCTCCCCAGCCCGCCTCCCCAAAGCCCTCGAGGAAGCAGAACCCCAGCTCAGGGACAAGACTCAACCAAGACAAAAGGAGTGTGGCCGATGAGCAGGTGACGGCCGTCGTCAATAAGCCCTTGATGTCAAAGGCTCCCATGAAGGAGGTGGGCACAGTGGTGCCCCAGTCCAAGTACTCTGGCCGCCACCATGTCCCCAACCCCAGTAACGGGGAGCTACACTCTCAGTACCACGGCTACTACGTGAAACTGCACCCCCCCCAGCACCCTCCTGTAGATGGGGAGGAAGGTGGAGAATTGAGCCAGTCTTCCTCAGCGCTGGTGCACAAGCCATCGCCCAACAAGTGGAGTCCCCCTAAATCTGTGACAAAACCAGTTGCCAAAGAAAGCAAAGCTGAGCCAAAAGCTAAGAAGTCTGAACTTGCTATACCAAAGAATCCAGCAAGCAACGATTCATGCCCTTCTTTGGAAAAAGAAGCCAATTCAGTAAGTTTTGCAAGATGCATTTTCTCTTCCTTTCCTCCCTTTGCTTCTTGTAGATAGCAGCCCCGGGTGACTTGCACCTTGATGACAGCAAGGCCAACAGAAGTCCTGAGCAGCACAAGGCTATTTAGAGTAGAGCTTAGCACGTTTGTAGCTTGAGACGGCAAAATCCGTCCAGGCAGAAATTCCTCCATGCTCACTGAGCCACCCACCTTAGACATCATCCAGGTGGGTTAAGATGTGACCAGCTTGTTCCGGCATCACATTTTAGCAAGCTTTTATCAGCGCTTCCTGGTAAGCTTCGTGGTAGCTGTCTTACTTGGGCTGCTACAGCAAAAATATCATAGACTGGGTGGCTTCAACAACGTCTATTTCTCCCGGGTCTTGAGGCTGGGGAGTCCCGAGATCAAGGGCACCAGCAGATTTGCTGTCTGGTGAGAACCTGCCTCCTGGTTCAAAGACCATAGGCCATCTTCTCACTGTGTCCGCACATGGCTGAGAGAGAGGAAGCAAGCTCTCTAGAGTCTCTTCTTGTAAAGGCACCAAGCCCATCATGAGGGCTCCACCCTCATGACCTAATCACCTCCCAGAGGCCTCAACTCCAGATACCATCACACTGGGGATTAGGGTTTCAGCATATGAATTTTGGGGTGACACAAACATGCAGTCCATAACAGTAGCTGACTCTCTGTTGGGTAGAAAAGACCACCTACTCTCAGCTCTAGCTAGGGAGAGGGCTCCACCGCCATTTGCTAAATTCTTGGCCCGCCTTTTGACCTCCCCACAACAATCATCATCTTTAGACAAAAGAACATCTCTTCTAGCTGTTGTAATTATTCTCATAAATATTTAGTTTGGATTTTACTTAATTAGCCAGGCTTTGAGGCTAGAACATTGTTCTTTCCCATAGGAGAAATGAAAATTTTCAGCTCTTTAAGAAAATGGCTTTGGTCTATTAATAAATATCTGCATCCTCATTCAAATGAGACTCATTGGTTAATAATATACGGAATTAGTATTTTATCAAATTCTGTACAATTTATAAAAGCTGAAGCTAAGTAATTTTTATTGAAAAATTTACCTACTGACTTAGTCATATGCCTTAGGAACCAGAGGTGTTGCATGTTAACTGTAGCTTAGAGAAGCCACAGCCAACCCAATATTGTCTGATAATTTCAGAGGCATATTTGCATAAAGTTGTAGGCTAATATCTTGGCCAATAAGCATATAATACAACCATCAGTTTACTTTTGTCTGTTCAATTTCCTCATAGGGTTATTTTTGCTAATAGTTATATAAACAGTGGTTCCCACTTTTTTTTTTTTTCTCAAATTCTCTTCATTTTAATTATCTAAATATAAATTAATCAGATTAACTGGATTAACTTTCTCCGAGCCAGACTCCATGAGGATAAATGGTTTTCAAAATAGAGTAACTTTGAGACTCTGACTGTTAAGTAAGCATTCATTCTTTTAAAAATTTAAACATTTATATGTCAGTATTCTGATATTATATATGATGATGATATCACTATTGAATTTGTTAAATGTAATAATTCACTTCTCATTTGACTTTCAGCATTGTATCCACAGGTCAGTAAAGCCTCACATATATATTAGTATCAGTTGCCTGATTTACAAGGGGGAAATTCAGACAATGCAAGGCCATATAGTTCACACCTCTGGGTACCCAGTAGTGGGGTTGGGTTGATTTCTAGAACTCCCCAGGAGGAAGTGTATGCCCCAGTGTCCTACCCTTTAGGTGAGTTACCTAGCTCTCATCTGTAACAGTTTTTCTATAAAACGTTACTAATAGATATACCTGGGAAATTCACAGCCTCCTTGTTTAGAAAAAGGATCTGTTTTTACTTACATGCAGAACCGTCTGGTTCTTGGAGTTAGCTGAGCATATTCCAGCTCGATAGGCTCGTCTCTGGGCTTCCCTTCCAGACCCCGAGAGGGAGAGGAGGCCGCACAGGTCTGCACCTCTGCGCCTGCCTCTGCACCTTCACAGGAGGATTGTAACAATGCCCTTCCCTGCCTAGTCATGGCAGAAAGCTGCCTTTCACACTCCTGGCAACTGTTTCCTTCCCAGAGAATGAGGAAGTGACAAAGTCATCATAAAGGTAGTCAACAAACAACCCTTAAAACAAAGGAATACTACACACAGTTTTGAGATAAAAAGACACTGCAAATTAGAGGTTTATAAATAACTTGAAAATCCATAGAAACATTCACACTAAAGCAGACATTTGAGGGAAAACCAGACTGAACCAGCTAGTGCTCTGGGTTGGCAGCTGACATCCAGTTTGAGTCAGAATTACCATTTGTAGGGGGGCAGACCCAACTGAGTCTGGAATTTTAGCCAACTTGTTGAGCCCTATAGGCTACTGGCTGAGAGTGTAAACTCGGATGCCAGACTTCCTAGGTTCAAATGCCAGCTGTGTGACCTTGGGTAAGTTTCCTAACTGCTCTGTGACTTGCTTTTTTTTTCATCTGTACCTATATGATATGTTTGTTTTGAAAAATAAGACATAGCAAGTCCTTAGCACAGTGCCTAGCACATGGCAAGTGCTCAGAAAGCGTTGACTGGTACTCAGTTTGCTTCATCACTGTACTAGTTGAAGCATAAATAATTCATAAATATTCCAATAGATTTTGACCCGTCCTCAGGATCACCCTAGTTACTGGTCTCCTGGAAATACAGAAAATCTTCTAGGACACAGGCTAACCCTTAGAGCAAAGTAACTCCGTGAGTACGAGAGGTAGGAGAAGGGAGGCTGGCAGGGGTTACTGTGCATAAAACCTTCCTCAAGAACTTTGTGACCCCCGTGGGCAGTGGTTCCACATGGACTCATGTTCCAGGGGAACACATCCTACATGAGACAATTTTTGTAGGATTTTGCAACATGGCAACTCGGGTAGGAGCCAGTAGAGGCATCTTTAAAGCCATGTCATCAAATAGACTAGTGAGGGGTCTTCCAATTAGAAATCGTGACCAACCCCTTCCGAAAACTGCCTGCACGTTTTGGTTAGCGGTAACTCATCAGCTTCCATGTTTGAGATTTACCTCATCTTTCTTTTGATTGTTGCAAAACTTAACAGCAGATCAGTTTTGAATCTCACACACACAAATAAAAACAGTTAATACAATTCAACTTTGCTATGAATACTAGCTTCAATTTTGTTATTTTCATATGTTTTTAGAGAAGTTTTAGATTTGACGTAAGCTACGATAACTCTTCAGCAGAAAATTCCTCACACTTTTAAATGAGCGATCTAGTCTTTTGAAGGAAAACGGATTAATTTTGAGTCAAAACTTCTTTCCATATTCGACTTCCTGCACTTCATTTTCTAACTGCCTCAGAGTTTCTTCCCGTCCAGCTTGCCCTTTGCCCACGGCTTCTTTTATTACACCTGTCCCAGTCAGTCTTGCAAAGCAAGACTGGGGTTTTTTTTTTCATTTTGCTATTTTAAGCTCCAACTGGCTACCACAGTCATATTTATGAGACTTCCACCTTAAAGCTTTCCCCCCTGAACCCAGCCTAGGTCTCTGAAGAACACAGAGCTCACATCTTGATACCTGCCTATTAAACATCGCGTCCCGGGATTGATTTCTCCACTGGTTGCTGTTTGAGCCTTTTCTTGCTGGTTTACCCTCCTCTTCACTGAGTCATCTTTAAAAATAGCTTTATAAATGGAGCTATACCAGTTGAATAAATATATATGTATGCGTATATTAGAATATATACAGGATAAATATGTATGTTTCAACAGAAAAAATATACAGCCAATAAATATGTATTATATAATAAATACTGTATATCTCCATAACCAATTCAAAAGGTTAGATAAATACATGAAACCTTATAAAGATTTATGAAATGGAAGTTCAAGGTTCAGACACACCTTAAGCTTTTTCACTTGGCTCCCCTGAAGGCACTTTTCTGTGTTTCTCCACTTGCCCTGGGTCCCCTATAAGACACTGAGCTCGGCGTTGTATTGTTCTGACCTTATCTACTTTGCTCATCTTTCATATCACTATCTTTGGGAGTTACGAATTAAATCCACTGACCCAAAGGAGTTAAGTGAACCCAAAATTCTTAACACATGCATGAGCAAAATCTGATCAAAACTTTGTAAGAGTAATAGCATTTCTGTAATGTCCATACTGAGTTATGGTGTCGAGAGATCACCTGAATGATTTTCTGAGTTTCCTACATTATTTATATGTTCTAAGTTAACCATTTTTGAGGACTTGCCTAGGTTAGGACTCTCCTGTTAACTTAGAATACTAAAAGAGCAATTGGTCAGTATCAAAATCTGATGTTTTTCTGGTACTATGGAATCAGGGGATAGAAGAAAATGCCATTTTAAAGAAGTTGATGGGAAATTATTATTTTTAAACTAAGGTCTGTGGCTTTAATAGGGATGTAGAAAAAGAACACAGAGCTCCGAAGTAGACAGACTTAAAATTTGATTTTCGTTCTAAAATGTGTCCAAACTGGCTGAGTAACCTTGGGCAAGACCCTTACCCTCTCAGAGCTCTGTGAGATGGAACTAATAGTCACTTGAGAAGAAGAAATAACAACACTCTACACAGGAATGCATAGCCACTCCCTGTCATATAAATACCCGCAATAAATGTTTATTTTCCTCTCATTTGCTTGGGGTTCAGGCACTAATGTTTTTCTTCTTCCTGATCGTCCCTGTCTCAAGGGCACCCATTTTTTTTTTACTTCCTCCTCTCCCTGACCCTGATTTTACTGATCACCCTGTTCTTCACTGAATACAGTGAATTAATCTGTTCCACAACCACACCCATAGCCCCTGGAAAAGTGCTGGGAGACAGTAGGCTCTCATTAAGTATCAGTTGCCTGAATGAATTGGGCAACCCCTGTGTGGCTACAGTGATGAACAGAGCAGGGCCCCTGCCACTGTGGAATCAGCCTTGGGGGAGACAGCAATTAACAAGAAATGACAGACAATGAAGAGGCTGGCTGGCCTGGGTCGGGGGGCGGTGGTCATAGCTTCATCTGGGGAGGAGACCTCCTTGAAGGATGTGTGACCCAAGCCCTAGACCCTGCAGGATGAGCGCTGGACCAATGGCAGTTCCAGTCTTCCTTATGCACTTACCCCACGCCCCCAAAAGTCACACTAATACGACACTGGAGGACTCTCTAACACGGTTTCAATGTAGTCTCATTGGATGTTCCAATATGGTGCCACTGTTTCCTCATGTGTAAAGTAAGAACAATGACCTACCTACCCACGTATACCTCGTAGGGCCAGTTTAGAAAACTTTTAATGCTATTAACACTATTTTAATAATAAAGATCAAGATCATGTCTCTGTAACAAAGATGGCCAAGCATGGACAAATCGAAAGTCATAAGGTAGGTTGGTTGGTTTGTTTAAACCAGTAAACAAAGTTTGGGTACCTTGGGCCAGCTGGTATTTATCAAAATAGGATTCTGCCATTTGTTAAATATAACTCTATTTCTGAAATGTGGTTGCAAGCAAAGAAATAAAAAATTAGACCTGTGAGATGATTTCTGAGAGTGTTCAACTTCCCCCTGGCCGGTTTTTGTTTTGTTGTTGTTTGCCTGAGGAAGATCTTCCGTGAGCTAACATCCGTTGGCAATCCGCCTCTTTTTTCTTGCTTAAGGAAGACCAGCCCTGAGCTCACATCTGTGCCAGTCTTCCTCTATTTTGTACGTGGGACACCTTCACAGCATGGCTAGTGGGTGGAGTAGGTCCGCGCCTGGGATCCGAACCCGCAAACCCAGGCCACCGAAGCAGAGTGCAAAGAACTTTAATCACTCAGCCACGGGGCTGGGCCCCCCTTGGCAGTTTTTATTTTAAGGAGGGGATAGTATCTAAAAAGACGACCAGGAAAAGCAAGAGTCAGAGAACCTCATTTTGAGTTTTTCCTAAATTTTTCCTGAGAGGCCTCATTGTCCTACACATTTTATTCTCACATTCTAACTGCCTTTGTGAGGAAATAATTCTTCCTCATCTAAAGTACACCATAACAAAAAATGCATATCGAATTTCCATTAGTTCCTAACCCTGCTGTGGTGAACTGTGTCTCACCCAGACTATTGTCCAGTGTTTTGAGGTGAATGAACTCAATTATTTTTGTCCTTTTTAGATCTAATCAAGACTGGGTTCATTTTTTACTGAAAGTTCAGAGATGGCTCCATCTAAATGTGGCATTGCTATTTTCAGTTTCTACCTTTTGGAACTGCTGTCATTTTTCATGCCTTATTTACTGCAGCTGTGTTGGGTTGTTTTATATTTTTGGTAATTGGTTTTATGAGCTAATTTATATAGATATTAACACGGAAAAGTGAGGCTTGTTTTGCTCTGCTTCATTTCCAGGGCCCTAACTCAGTCATGATTGTCCTCGTCATGCTGTTGAATATCGGGTTGGCCATCCTTTTTGTTCACTTTCTAACTTGATTGGAATTAGGAAAGGTAAGAAGAGCCTTAATTTCCATATAAAATCACAGTATATAACATTCTTTTCCCATATTCAAATTTACCTTTTTTTTCTCTCTCTCTTTAAAACAACTACATATTGTCCTTCACTTTAATTTTGGCTGTGCCTGAATGTGATTCAACATAGTTACTTAATGATATAATGTTTTGACCCTTCAGTGAAGTCATGACAACTAGTGGCGTCAGCCCTTTAAATGGCACACCCCAGTCAGACTCAGACACAGGGAAGGAGGCTTGCAATTAGCATGGGATCACGATGAGAGAGATGGAACTTGGAAAATTCAGCCAGAGGACTGTCGGTTCCCCTGGGAATCCCTGGTGGCTTTGGGGTCCTCTGGGAGCTGAAGCAAGCGGCCATGTTGGAGAGCAAAACTTAATAATCGTTCTTTTTTAAAATCTGCTGAAGCAGCCCCAACTGGCGAAGTTCTTGGCGTTGGCTACTCCATCTGTCCTAGCAGAGTGTGACTAAACTGGAAATGTATGGAGCTGCATTTTTTTTTTTTTTTCTGATGGAAGTCAACAGCTGCCTTACTATTTTACCATCTGACGTTTTCAGTAGGGAGCTGGGGAAACAACGACTGCCCGAGGAATGCGGTCGGAGGATTGTGTTGCTGCAGCCGTGGTTCCAACATTCACTCCTATCTCGTTAGAAGAAATAGGTGGCAGCATCACTCACCAGTCTTATGCCATGACCTGCTGCTTTAACGGCTCCTGGAATGTTCCGGGAGAGAACGTTTCGTTTGCTTGTGCACGACTATGTTCATTTTTGCTGTTTATTTCAATATGGTGTATGGTCATCTACAACGTGCGGTCCTGGCGGGGTGAAACACATGTGTTGCATCTCAAGGAAAAGAAATGACAAAATTCTAGAAAAGATGTGTTTATTTTGATAGCAATACATCATTTTTCATGTCATTGAGTCTTCCTAAACCTGTCAAAGGCTATTTATCCTTAAAATTTTGCAACTTAAAGGCATCAGACCTTCCTAAGAAATCATTTTAAACATTTTTAACATTACTGAGATGAATTAGTTATGCACTTGGGAGGTGCTAAATTTTAAAAGCTGAAAGACAACAGAATTCTCAGAAGTAGAATCGAAATGTTGCATGGGCTGCAGTAATCGGTGTTTAAAGGATTCAGTTTCATTGCTGACGTACTTTACAACCAAATAAAATCTTGTCAGTGGCTATGTTAATTCCCATGAAAGTTAAGCAAGATGCTATTAATAACTGCTCTTCTCTCTTCTTTTTTTTTTCCAACTTCAATTTTTGTTGAATGCATTCAGGTAGAGCCTCAAGCTTCGTTCGATCTCTGCTTCTCAGTTTTATGCCTCGTGTTCTCCAAAGTCCTTTTGTAATTTTATTTCACGTTTTAAAGGCTTAGACATTTTTATTTAAATATTTGTCTTTTGCAGTCCTTTCTCATTCAGACATAATCTGATTTTTTTTTTGCCGTTTTATAATTTATCCTTTATTAGAAGCATGCTTACTTAGAGAAACTACATAGTCTTTATAAAAATAATTATTTAAAAAGAAATCAGGGGAGGAAAGGTGTCTGTTAAATCTCTATAAAACATTACGTTGCGGAGAGGGAACTAGCTATTCCTAAATATTTTCACGATCTGCATGGTTGCATCAGGTTATTTTTACCTTATTTGCTACCTTTTCAATGCAGAAGAGACAATTCACGTGTTAGCACAGGTGTGGACTGAATGCCTTGTCACCTGCAGGGTAGTAACCCACTGGTGTTTTTTGCAGAAGTACAATATCTTGAGCATCCTGGGTGTGACCAATGTGGAATAAAGAAGAAAGCAGAAAGAGAGCAAATGAAAATTACAACTTGTATATTTATTTATTTTTTACATTTTGCTTTGACTTTGAAATTTAGGAAGTACGTTTTTACCCAAGAAACATTTAAGTTCCTATGTCACAGTCCCCATGCCCTCCCTGCTCCTTCCTAACCCCATAGCTCTTTATTCTGGGAAAGGTGATTTTTTAAAAAAATAAAATAAAATATTTAATCTTATTAAGTGTTTATTTAAAATACGTAATGCTTTGGAAATAATGGGTAATAGATAACTAAAGGATATGTTTATAAAGTGAGCATGTTGGTTCCATTTATAAATATATGTATGATTTATAAGCTTTTTTAAAAACAAAGCTCAAATTGTTGGTATTTTTCTAAAATGTGCACAGCTGTATTTTACATGAAAGGCTCTTTCTAATGGGTTGTTATACTGTACTCTACATTTTGGACAGCACATGAAGTCTGCCAATGTACTTAAGAAAACATGACTTTGTTTATTTAAAGTTTCTTGCTGTGAAAAAGGAACTCCGTACCTGTGAGTTCCTTTATTTATAATCCTTGAAACCAAAATGTATAATGTACAGTTTTCACAACTGGATCTGCTCTAATAAAAAAAAGTTGGTTATTAATAAAGTTGTAGGTGTGTTTCCTCTGTGAGTAAATTACTGCCTTGAGTTACCTGGAATTTTTTGGAGGTGGTGGTAGTGAAAGGAAATTAACAATAGAAATGGGAGGGGGCCTCAAAGAACCTACATGGCAGGAAGTAGTTATACTGCACCAAGATTTCTTTCTGCATTTCTTTCATCCTAGGCCTTTCAGATAATTTTGTGAAATAAGATTAATTGCTCTGCTTGGTGCCTTCATTAACTGGATTAGTGCCCTATCCAGGGTTTTAAGGAAAACTCAGAGTTGGAGTGAATCTCCCTCCTGCATGAGTACTTTTCAGTTATTGAAGTTTTTGACCATTGCACCCCAAGTCAATTAATATGTTGCTATGGCCCCTATTGCTTAGGCACGTTGTGCAGTTAAATAAACTTGCTGCCACTAGACCTTCCAGCCACCGGGCTCCCTTTGAAGCTGTCCTCAGTTCTGGCCTAGGCGGCTACTTAACAAGCTGTCTGTGAGGTATAATAAAAGGACATTCTCCAAAGCAGCTGCCCGGGTGCTTTTAAATTCCCAAATTAGTCGCTCTTGTTGAGGGCTGAGGTGTCGGAGACCCCCATACACATAAGGCACAAAGTTATCACCTCTGGGGGAAAACAGATTTATCAACTTCAGTGATTAATCTCCTAGCACGTCCTAAAGGAATGGAACACAGAGCAGACTGTCTGGAGCAGGCGGGAAAAGCACAGGGTGCTAGAAAGATTATTGATTCCAGATTCGTGTCCAAGCCACACGTGGTGATGGCGGAAGCCAAAGCTAGGGTGAAGACTGTGCGGTCGGGAAATCTGGAAAATATTCTACATGCCCTTGTAATGGAGTCACTATTTCAAGAGTCGTGGTGAGCGGCTCCCCAGGCATACAGTCAGCGCAACGGGAAGCCCTCCCCCGTGCTTCGGAAAGTTGTGTAGCCTCGTCTTTCCAGCTTAATCTGTAGCTGTAGACGTGGCGTGTTCCGCAAGTGCAGTCTAACAGCTCATCAGGCTGCGTTTGATTATCCCAGGTTTGTGAATTATATATGTCCAACATTTCCTACCCCAAAAGTACTGAAAAGTCCTTTAGTCTTCTGTAACAGTCTCTATAGGGGTCTAATTTATGGGACTGGGAGAAAATAAAACATACAGAATACAATGAATACTGGTGAATGCAGTGAATAGGGGTGAAATTCTGGCTGTGGTCGTGATCAGTTGTGGATCCTTCTGCAATCTGTGCCCCTGGTTTCCTCATCTGTAAAATGAGCATAACCATAGCCCTGACCTCACAGCGTGGTCGTGAGGATGAAATGAGCTCGTTTGTGTTATGTGCTCAGTGCCTGGTGCATAGGGGACTGCTTTGTATGTGTTAGCTTTTACTAGTTGGAGGAACTAGGGAGAAATTTTTAAATTCCTGTAAGTTTCTCCAATATGTTAAGAAATATAGTGAGCTCCCTCTAAAAACGTCTTTATGAAGGTTAATTATGCCAGAGGTCATACGATGGTCTTTCTTCAGTGGTGATCAATGAGTCTGCTGTGAAAATCAAAGGCCAGACTTACAGAGTTCCTTCTCTGCACGAAAATGTAATTTGCAGTGTGGTAGAATATGAGACATTTGCTTTACAAAGAACTTTCACGTCAGTGTCTCATTAGATTCTTACAAGATGCCTATGAAAGATTTCCTGCAGTTAATTGACTGGCCCAAGGTCATGCAGCCAGAAAGTTATAAAAATTTGTATTGGAGTCCCAGATCTGACTCTAAATGTTGTACTTTTTCATTTCATATATTGGCTAGCATTCTACGCTGTCATACTCATCAGCCATGAACAGGTAGAAAATATGGTGAAATTCAAGGTAACGGTATGGGGTGAATGGGCCCATTTTCATGAGTTCCTTAATGCCACTTGATTGATGTCACTATAGCAGAGTCTATTAAAAGTTCTAAATAATGTATTTACAGGTCTACTGTTTCATGACTCTTAGTAAAGTATGTATGATATTTTTGAATATTATAAAATACTAAATATTATTAAGAAAGTTTAGCCTTTAAATGATATCTTGGTATTTTGGAGTAAGAGGCACATTATAAATGAACTTGGTGTGTGTGTATTTGAACTTGATCTCTAGGATTAACCCAGGATTGCACTTAGCGCCTAGAAGGCCTAAAAGATTTAGACAAATATCATGATGTTCTTTTGCTACTTTATCTCTGTGTCCCATAATGTTTCCTTGGTATTGTCTTGAATCCCAAGCCTACTAAGGTAAACTATTAGTAGAAATAACACAAAAGGGAGGGCCTGAGATTGTTCAGCTAGTGATTGATAAAGCTGTTCGCTTCATGTGGTAAAGAGTATATCCATCTTCGAAAAGAATTTTAAGAGAGAAGATTTGGACACAGGATAAATTCAATGGAAGGTGATTATAATGTTGATGTACAAATCTTTCCTTGTCTCCATCCTTGCCCTAAGCAAACTCATTCATAAAAGATCAAGAACAAATATCGAACATTCAGTGGAATTCTTGATATTTGCTTAAAGGAAAGCAATGGAGGTCTTTGGTTTCAGGACTGTACATGTCACACTCCTGCCATTTATGGAACACAGTTGGAAGAAAAGAACCTGATAGATAAATAGCATGTCTCCTGTGTAGTAAAAGTAGAAGGAAAGGTGAGAAGACACCAAAAGTCATCTAATTTCCTCAGGTCCTGGGCATGTTCTCACAACAGCTTCCAACCACTAGAGCAAGTACCTAGAAGTCAGGGAACTGCTTCTTAAGTTGATAAAGGCCAAGAAGATGCTCAAACCTAGCATTGTTGTAGAGCTAACAGGTGGTGGAATCCATCACCTAATAACTAGAGAACATTTTAAAAGCAGTTTTACACCAGATAATTTGGCCAAATAAAAGTTAGCTGAGGTTCGAAACATTCAAATCCATACAACATTCAAAAAAGGAAACAAGTATCACTTAAGTCTGTGGGTACTCATCAGTCCATTGAAACCAAGCAAGAATTTGGGAAGTAATCTCAACACAAGAAAGTGCCAAAGAATGAAATCTATCTGTGCTCAAAATAATGTTTGATGATTTCTACATCCAAGCTGTCTGTCATCATATATAACGAGCAATGTGAGGAATTCAGCATAATTTTTCATTTCTCAGTGTCAACTTTCTTATTTCCCAACATTTCCTTACTTTACTTTCCAGTTTGTATTTTTTCTATTAGCATTTTTGTGTGTAGAAATATCTTTCCATTTTTTCTAATAATCATGTTCATTTTTTTCTTCACCAAAGAGTATGACTACTCTGAAAGATCCCAGCAGACTATATTTTGGGGTTTCCATTGGTTCACTCAAACTATTAACAATTTACCTGTATTTGCATTGACATTCTAAAGACTACCTGAGTAAATTATAAAGGAAGCACTCGAAACCTATTTGTGACCCTGCTTCAAGCTTTCAGGAATCTTAACACTGCCTGCATGTTCAGTACCCTCCTAATGCCTCAGCGCCCTGCAGAACCTGAGCTCTCCATCGCACCTAATCACAGCTCCTTGTCGGTCTCCCCAGACCAGCAGCGTGCTTAGACACACACAATCCACCAGTGCAGCTTGACAAACATGGCAGCCTAACTGAGGATATTAATTCAAACAGAGAAGCAGAAGAAGGCCTAAATTCAAGCATGCCATTTTCTCAGATGCCATTTTTATGGAACCAGCCACATAATTCCTTTTGAGTCCTCCTCATGTTCATTGGATACACCAGCTCCAAATATCACATGTCCATTTTGGGACGCTAAGGATAGTTTTGGTGTCTGTAAAGTGGGAACAATATCTGCTTCATAGGTTCTTGTAAGAATCAAAGTAGATAAGGTCAGTCAACCCCTGGCACATAGACTCTCCCCATATAGTAGGTACTGTTACAAGTAATAGTCTCACCTTTATTAGCAGTTTTTACTTATTCCCTCATCGTTTATTGGGTACTATTGAAATAATTTTCTAGGCCCAATTTGTAGTCACTCCTGCTGGGGTGCCACATCAGCAAACCAAAACTTAAATAACTTGGGTGTCCCTGTAAATGCTCGGCTTGACCGGAAACGCAGGATATCCACTCAGCCAATCCCCAAACCTCAAACGCCAACTCCAGGCCTTCTCACTCCAAACAAGGTTGACTACGTGGCCCCAGCCTATCAGATATTTTCTATCCTTCTCTTCCGTGTTCTTTATTCTTCATCCTATAATAGCTTCCTGCTTTCTGCTCCATTTTGCAGTTTCCAGAAAGGAGACTGGCCACTTCAAGAATGAAGTTTGTTTGTGTTACCTAAATTGTTTTCTTTAATCCTACTTTAACAGTACTTAACTGATGTTTCTTTAAATTCATTGAAATGAAATTCTTTGGTCATTAAACATCAGGTCCTGCCCTAAGGAATGTATTCTGCGTATAGATTCAGTTGTGCTTTATACAATTAAATGGCTTGCTTCTCAAAAGCAAAGGGCAGACAATTAAAATTCAAAACTCCTAATGGTCACCAGAAGCTACACAGGTGAGCACTGACGCATTTCTCCTAAGAAGATTAGGAATATTTAATAATACAGAACACTCATTATATATACTGGGAACAACCATTCATTAATGTCTGTTACTCACAAAAACTGTGTGATAAAAAGATACAATTAAGGTGTATGAGAAACGAGCCTGACAAAGGCTTGCCACAATGATTATACTCTTGGTTGTAGGCACGAACTTCTTAATGCAGGTAGAGCATCAAGATTTTCGCTGAGATGCAGGAATGTGTTAATGGAACTAGCCATGGTGCTTAATTACTGTGGTTATGCACATAGGCAAATGTCTCTGACTTTAAAATAAAATTTATTTAATCAGAAATAATAGCATGGCAAAATAGCATAATGTCAGATCTTCCAGAACTGAATAATCAGTGTAGCAACCATTAGTTTATAAATTCTATCATTAATATTTATAGAGACAGAACAGAAAAGAGGATAAGTTA